ATGGTCATGCGATCGCATGGCCTATGTATTTTTTTTTTTTTTCCTATTTTGATTCCAATATTTATTTTATTAGTTTGAACAACTTATTTCCAACATGCAGTAGGCCTAGAAATAGATGCACACATTTTCCTTCAGATACCTCTACATGAGGCGAAAGTGGCGTGTTCAGGAGTTCTTACCACGATTGTTATAAGTTGTTTACTAATTCCATTCTTGAATGTCCCTGAAACTCAAAATGTTACATTAAATATCTGTCTTGATGTTATCTTCTCTGGGACAGCTTCTCCATTGCTAGCTCGCCTAATAACTGATCTCAAGATTGGGAAGTCGGATATTGGGCGTTTTGTTATATCTGCTGGAGTACACTATGACTTAATATCAACACTCCTGATCTGCATTGGGTTTATAATATTTGACCCCTTTAACAATTTCTATTATAGGTACTTGAAGAGCATTCTAAGAATGACTTCACTTATTGTGATTGAAACAGTCTTAGCAGCCAAGGTGACTCCCCTGCTAATGAATTGGGTGAATCGCGAAAATCCTGATGGAAAATCCACGAAAGATTCACATCTAGTTGTTTCAGTGGCATTTGTTGTTATGGTTTGTTGCTTTTCACCAATTTTTGGGGACTATAATAGTGTATTGAGTGCATTCTTGGCTGGATTGTTTATGCCAAGAGAAGGAAGAGTAGCAAAAATGACGATCAGTAAAGTGAACTATTTCTTTGCCACTATTTTTTATCCACTTTTCTGTTGGGAATTTACTTAGTCATGCACAGCGAAAATAAAACAATTTTCAATTCCCACCAAGGATCTGTAATGTGTTTAAATAGAAACTGTGATAAGAATTATACATTTGATGAATTCTGTAAACTCCTTTGCTGATTTTCGAACTCCAATGATCACGATCTGCAATCCAAGCTGTCCAATTACCCAACTTCCAATGGTGATCCACACAGAGAACATGAATGACGACTAGGATTTCTTTTCTTGTGCTAGCAAGAATAATGAAAATAATCTCTACAATTTACAAACCCTATCAATCTATTAATATAAGTCAAAGTGGGCTTGACCTATCTCTAAATTTTACCCGATCCGATATTTAATTAATCAAATGAATTAAATTCGATCCATGAATTAATTAATCTAATTAATTAATTAATTAATCCAATTAATTAATTCGAGTCTATTAATAAGCAATCGAATTAATTAATTATTCAACACTTGTCAATTAATTAACTGGTAGATCTCATTCTTCTAGTTTTTTTTTAGTGTGACCCGTTAGGTTCCCGATCACAATACCTAACGACGTAAATTCTTATTTTGATCTAATCAAAATCGATAAATTAAAACGCTCCTTTTAATTTATCAATAATTCACATCTGTCGTCTCATATTGACATCTAACAATGTGTCGGGGCAATACATGTGATGAGAAATGTCACGTGATGTGACAAACCAAATTTGTTCGTTTACCGTGAAATTATAATCCTTTCGTTAATATGATCCAATCAACTATGAGATATGGATATGTGTCAGTCTTAATTATCATAAATCTTTTATCCCAGTGTTAAGTCACAATAAGTCGAAAACTCCTTTTCGACTTATGAGTTGACATTGGACAAGGATTTCATTATCAACTTAATTGGATAAAATGTAGATCATAATCTCTTATTATCTAAGAGGGACTAATCCTCTATTGATCATTCACAACCTTCATATGATTCTTGACATACCCGAAGAATACTGTATTAGAGACCATTGGCAAAGAAACATCGAACACCATCAAAGTATGAATGTCCTCATATAAGGCACTATGATGATTTCAAGTCAAAAGATGAATTCCACTACCGAACGTTAGAGATTAACCACTAACACTCAGATAGTTATCCATCTGAAATCTCCCAGTGGGTCTCCAATGTTTTATTCTATAACAAAATATCCACGTGTTCATTTAAGTGTCACCACACTTTAATTTGTGAGATCAGCTACTTCACAAGTAAGAATGCCACACGCGATGATCTATCCGTAATAACGATATCTGTATTTCGTTATTACTTCGACCACAGATGATTTAAAATTCTGTCATATGTAATTTGTATCTCACAATCACAACTCATTGTGATTAACAAATCACCAAATTTTGAATCTATGGATTCTATTATTTTATTTATTAGAATATTAATTAAATTAAATAATAGATATCGTCATACGTGTGGATCGATTACATATATATATATGATTGGACATAGGGCATAACACTTTCATTTTCTTCTGGGTGGGCACAAAAGCTCTATTGTCTTAATTTGGGACTGGCCATATAGGAACATGGGCAAAATTATTTTTCCTTTACTTGATTGCCAATATTGGATAGGTTCTTGGATCTGTGGTTTCTGGGGGTGATGTTAGGTTTTCATTGGCAAGAATCAATCGAAATTGGATTCTGCTGAACATTAAAGGTCATTTCCAGGTATACCTGGCTCTTATTGCCTCGAATGTAAGCCTCTCGCTCGTGTTTGGTATACAATATCAAATAAGACTTGGCATTATAATGTCTTCTTTAATACTATTTAGTATTGTTCAATCCATGCGCAAGGTGTCAAACTAGTTGTCTATAATTTTCTTGATGGAATGCAGATGAAGCTTACAAGTATCTCCACGAGCATTTCCATGGTATTTGTAACCTTGCTTACCATTGTCTACTTGCCATTTGTCGTCACAAACATCATTGACCGTGCCAGGAAGCACTCACCTACACAAAGAATGGCACTTCAATGGCACAGTCCAATCGATGAGCTCCAGATTCTACTCTACATACATGGGTCACAAATTGTTTTATCAGCTAAAAATTTCATGGAGATTTCTCAAGGGCTAGCAGAACCAGGTATCATGGTTTTTCTGACTGATGTAATAGAATTAACAGATAGGATATCAGCTGCATTAACACACAATGAGGGTGCAGATGGCTTGACCGTGACTGATCCAACCGTTGTTGGAATGAGAGAGCAAATAACAAATGCAGTTAATGATTACCTGAATAAGGATGGAGATGGAATTAATGTTAGGCGAATGCTTGCTCTTTCCACTATGAATAGCATGCATCACGATATCTGCATTTTGGCTAAGGATCTTATGGTTTCGTTGATAGTATTACCATTTCACAAGCAACAGGAAGCAGGATGAAGACTTAATATCGGTCTTTTAGGGTTTCGACATGTTAATCGCAAGGTATGGATATAATGTAGTGCATGTCTAGTATGCAATGAACCTGTTTGACACCCATTTTAATCTAATTCTCATTTTTTTTTTCTCTTTTTTATTTCAACCACATATTCTTCAAATAAAATAATATTACAGCAAATCTAAAACTTTTCACCACTTTTTCAACATACATTCTCCTATCAATCACTATTCCAAAAATTCTATTCTCATTTTAATGAGATTCAAACACACTCAATATTAGATTATTAGAATGTAATATTGTGTACATAATATAATCTTGTACATAATCATGTTTAGAAAGTATATATTGATGGAAGTTAAAGGGTCAGGACAAGCATACGTTAATGGTTACATCTTCGTTGTTGTTGTTCAGCAGGTTCTTCGCAATGCCCCCGTGCTCGGTAGGAATATTAGTAGATCGGGGTCTTGGAACAACAACAATATCAAGAACCTCAATATCCCTCTATACAGCAGTTATTTTCATTGGTGGGAAATACGATCAGGAGGCTCTTGCCTATGCTGGGCGTGTAGCGTGCCATCTTGGAGTGAAGTTGACATATAAGGTCCAGTGGAGATACTGTTACATCAAGAATCACTATAGCAAAAGCTAATACAGTTGAGTACTAAGAGGAGATGAAACTTGACGATGAATGCTTTGCAGATTTTTATGACGGCATGTAGCTGGAGGACATGTAGCTTAGATGGAAAGTACCTTATTAATCCCGGCCAGTCATTTTCGACGCTAAGGTCACTTGAAGAGAAATATGGGCTTATCATTGTGGGTCGATGAGGAAGAGTCAACTCCGTTTTAATGGTAGGGATGAATGATTGGAAGGACTGCCCAGAGCTCGGGCCCATAGGAGACATCCTTTTGGCAACTGATTACTCGACAACAGCTTCAATTTTGATTATTTAGCAACACAGTCTTATTGGGGAACTAGATGGGCTTCACGATGAGTTTTTAATAATGTGAAAGCATGCTTATGTTGTACAATAGCCTTTCGGCTTCTGATTACTCGACAATAGCCTTGGTTTTGATTATTTAGCAACACAGTCTTAGAGGGGAACTAGATGGGCTTCACGATGAGTTTTCAATAATGTGAAAGCATGCTTACTCGAGATCCATTTGGCTTCTGGTTACTCGACAACAGTCTCAGTTTTGATTATTCAGCAACACAGTCTTAGAGGGGAACTAGATGGGCTTCACGATGAATTTTCAATAATGTGAAAGCATGCTTATATTGTGCAATACTTGCTTGTTTGGTAGTTTTAAATCCACAGGCAATGTAAACTCTTTTTTTTTTTCAATTTTTTCGAGTGGATTGTATCTCTACCTTTTTAATTCAATCCAGAATACGCCATCTCCTAGATAAATTTTGTTTTCATCTAATTTGGCAAGATCAGTGTAGTATTTTACAACTGTCCGTTCGTTCAATATGAAAGGANTTCACAATAGATATCTTCTTCCTCATCATCCATGTCGAGATGATTAATTGCAAAAATCTTTTTACCATGCCATTATCAGAATCTTAGATGCATTGTTGAATGACACCTAGATAGAATATCAAATAAGAGAGATCATGGTGGGTAGCGAAAATCAATAATTAAAAAAGTTGAATTTAATATAAACTACCAAACTAAAATTAAATCCGTTATTCACGGGCAACGACGCAAAAAAATTGTTCTAATGAAACCCGCAAGCGTACGAGATCGTTATACAAGTAATAAGATTTGTGAGTTAAGAGTATCGTTCCCACGGGAAATAAAGTCTAATTTATAGTTCAATAGTTACTGTTAAATTCGAAGTGTGATGAAATCAAAAGGGATAATTCGTATATTATTTATACTAATCCTAAACTAATAAAGCAAATGAAGTATTTATCTAATATATGAATGTTTGTATTGAAATCATGAATCTCCCTATTGCTATTTAACTCAATTATAAATTCGTAATCTAGTAAATTTATGTATTCAAGACAATCGATAATCCACTTTTATTCAATATTATTTTCCAAAATATATTAAACATATGTTTAACACGAACCCATCATATTCCTAATCCGAATTCATATGAAAAACAAGTATTGATTCATAGGATTTATCATACATGGTTGCACATGTCATAGATATTATTCCTAGTATCTATTATCCATGTGTTGATTTTGCGGCGCTCTAGACTTATTGTGAGTATTCATACACTACAACAAGCAACTTATTGTATAATTGGTGATCAAGTAATCAAATAGTTCAATCGGAATGCAAAATCAATCAGGAAAAATTAAGAAATACTAAACTAATTATCTTGAAGCGAAATTAAAAAAAATAATAATAAGGTTCATCATTTATCCAATACAATGAAAAACTTAACCTAACATTCTTATAATTAAATTATATAAGAATAATTGGAAAAACATCTCCTAGAAATAAGAAATATGGAAGAAATAGAATAAATCCACGTTCTTGACTCAAATCTTGAAACTGGACTATAAATTTTCAAAATCCTTGTATGATTCGTCTTAAATTGATGTATAGAATTGTTCTTCGCTTCCAAAATATGTAGAATATGATAAAATTTAGTTTCAATGGAGGTCTCCGATATCGATTCTGCTGTTAGGTATTTATAGGATTAGAAAATTGGTTGAAAATTTGATCGAAGCGATTCGAACTGCATTGGAAAGTTAACTCAAAGAGCTACAACTTTGCTAGAATTTTTCTAATTCAGAAGTTTACTATGCCAAATGGGTCTCAATATTTGACTAAAAATTTGGAATATAACATTTGCAATTGGAAATTGATTTTGATAATATTTTGGTCATATTTCATTCATTTTTGAGTTCTAATTCCATCCAATCGTCTCCTAGCAATCTTCAAAGTAACATCTTGTGGTCCGAATCAATTATTGAATGTTTACAATTCAATCCTCAAACTTTATATTTGATACAATTGAGCAATTTTCTGCTATCTTTGCATACTTTTCTCCAATTTTTCATCAAATATTGAGTTTTACCTACAATATGAAATATAACACAAGTTAGATAATATTTTATCCAAAAAAATAGAAAATATCATTATTTAGGACATCGAATAAGTGTGAAAACTACACTTATCACATACCCCAAGCATTTTTTTTTAGTTTACATTTAATCGGGTTTGCATGCCCCATACATTTTTTATTTTCTTATATAGTTTATTTGTCAAGGCCTGCCTGTGAGCTTAAATTGTTTTTAGAAGATAGGAAAGATCATATAGAGTAATAGTTAGGATTACCCAACAATTTTTTTAGAAAGAGTTAACCTTAAAAGTTGTTCCCACGAGCATGCATGCACCTAAAGTCGTGCTCACGAGTATGCACTCTCCAAGATCTTCCCCGACCACATAAACCCGAACTACTCTATATCGACATTCATGTGCCCTAGTTATTCGAGCTACATCTGGAGGATAGTACTTGAGCTATAATTGTTAGAACTTAAAGGATTGAGCTCTAACAATCAAATAACAAACAACTCAAGCAGCTTGTCTACTTTGTTATTGACAAGTAGTTAGCTCAAGCTACAACTGTTAGAGCTTAAAGGATTGAGTGAACTATTCTTGTGTCTACTTTGTTATTTACAAGTAGTTATTCACCTCCCTCCTCATGAAGCTTGACCTCTGTGGAATATTTGGCAACGATGCTCGATATCAAGAAATAGTTTTCTTGCCCTCCTTGTACAACATCGTCCTCCAAATCCACAATCTTAGGAGTTCCCCAAGGCATTGATGCTCGAACACGCTGGGAAGGAGGATTACTGCTCAGGCTAAACCCGTACGTTTGCCCGCATCTCAAGGGATGGCAACCGTAGGTGCATCCCTCATCCTTTTCTTTCCTTTGCCCTTAGCCCGGGCAACAGGACGAGGTTGATTTCCCTGGGACTTCCTCAAAATCGAGGCCCAAAGATTAGCTGGATTGAAATTCATTTCAACTTCTACAAAATTCAACTAGTCATTAGCTCGATCTACAGCTCGAGAAAAACAAGTACTTTCAAGAAAAAAGAAATAACAGCAAAAGGCCCTACCCTCGATTCTTTTTACATTCGCAAGGTCGAGGATATCATCATCGAGAATTTGCTCGAGCTTATACACCAACGAATCATAATTCTCTAAATTCACTCTATCATTTTCTAAAACCTCAAAATAGGCTTGACCCTCATCGAATAGATCAGTGTCTGGGACGTTTCATCTAGAGCTAAAATGGTGGTCGGGGTCCTAAAGTTTGACAAAAAAGAAACTTTGTTTCCAACCCTGAAAAGTGCTTGACATTTTGGGTGCCCTAAAACCTCTTCGAGATGACAGGTATACAAAACAGTTATAGCCCAAGGCCATTTTGAGTTCGTATACCATCTTAAAGAGGTCAATCCTAGGCCTAATCCCTAAATATTTGCACACAATAAAATAATATATTATCATCATCCATCTGTTGGGCCAACTAACCCGGGCACATATAAAATGTGACCAAAAACATAACAAAGAACAAATGAAGGGGCCACCTCATATCTCCCTTGAGGAAATCCCTGAAAAGGGTCATCTCTCCCTCCCGAGCATCAACCACTCAATCCCTAGGCCTGGTGGCCCTAATGTCACACCTTGGCATTACCACTTACTTCCTAGCTACCTTAATAATTTTATGCTCTTTATAAATGGTATGTAGCTTGGGGAAAGCGAGAAGCACTTCTTCCCGAGGATGAGCACAAATAGGCTCGACCATGGGGATAAGGGATGACACTAAACCCTCTTGAATGCTCGAGCTTGATCCTTCTGAGAAATCGTTCCACTCTCGCTATCGCTCGACATTTGATAAACAAAATTAGATATCTTAGAGTAATGAGCACTTACCTTAAAGATTGATTGCCCACTAACCCACTAAAAGCTCGAGCTCGAATTGTTTTTTTAAAGAGAAAAGGTAAAAAGTGAAAAAATGAAGGTGGAAATGGGGGTATTTATGAGCTAAAGTGGAAGACCCAAGGTTATCAAATCTGAACCCTTGGCCTCGAGCCACGTGGCATTCATCCCATGACCTAGACCCATCTTTACACGTGGCATCCATGTGTCATGCAAGCATCTGTACACCATGATAAAAAACGACGATCACGCTCGAGCTGTTTAAACTTTTTTACACCTCATCTCCCAAGCCCGTCCATTCATTATCAAGCTGCGATCTATGATGTAAAACGTAGCTCGATCTCGAGACTTCACAAACTAGCCCAAACCATTTGCATCGAGCAATCACTCCCCCCAAATTCCTCGTAGACTGATCGAGCCTTATCCTACTAGTCGGGTCTAGGTAGGGTCAGGCTAAACATTGGCGATACTTCTCTTCATGCCCTTATCTCGTGCCTTTTTGAAGTTTTAGTCCTTCCATAAGTAGAACTCTCTACATTGATCCTTATCCAAATATCCAATATCTTGCAGTCCAAATCAAACTCAAAGAGGTAATTTCAATACAACTCAATCATTTTGTGAGATAAGCATAGAGATTTCCATATGGTTTAATATTTTTAGGATTCAACCACCAACCTCTATAAATACAGAATTAAGATTCATTATTCAGATACATTTACATAATTTTCAGTCCATAGCTTTACGCATATTTTCTCTCTCTAACTTAAGTATCGAAAGGTCAATTCAATCTACTTCCCATCAGCAACAGAAATCTTGTTTGTACTCATTCCTTATCCCCGAGCTTGAGATAATACTAGTGCGGATTTTTGTAGCATTAGGTTCCATTGTTGTCAACGGTAAAAAAAAAAAAAGGCTTAAAATGTTGATGAAAATGGTTGTCAGACGGCTTGAATTTTTGTGTACAATATTTTCTTATCAATAAGAGGAAATTATACAAAACCATACTTTAAGTTTTTAAACTTCCAAAATCAGATTGGAAGTTTAGTATTTTCAAAATCAGATATTTTTATTTTAATTAATATTTTTATAAAATAAATATTTTTACTAAATATATATACTCAAAACCCTAATTAATTCCCAAATCAACCTTACCTCCCTCCACCCCACCTCGTTTCCGGTTCCCCAAATCCCNGGTGCTTTGTGTAAAATGGGTGACTGCTGCGAAGTTGTCGTCGATCTGAGGTGCTGCGAAGTCGTCGCCTATTTGTGGTATGTGTGCTGATTTGTGTGATTTCTGTGGTGGGTATGTGTGCTATGGGTGCGGTGTGACGGCATGGTGGGTGTGTGGTGAGTTGATGGCGCTGTTTGTGGTATCGACGTCGACGGCAGCGGCGACGACGAAGATGAAGAGGTGCAGTGGTGAGTAGAGCTGCGTTTTTCTTTTGTTTTGCGGTGGTTGTGTAGTGATTGTGTTGGTGGCGGTTGTGACTGTGAACAAAATTCTGAGTTGTGACCTGGACTGTGACTTGATTTGTGACTTGTGACTTGGGCTGTGACTCTGACTTATGACTTGTAACCTGAGCTAGGACTTGTGATATAGGCTGTGACTCTTGACTTGTGACTTGTGACCTGAGCTGTGACTTATGACATGGGCTGTGACTTGTGACATATGACTTGTGATCCGGGTTGTGACCGTAAAAAAAACATGTTAACCGTACAAAAAATATAGCAGAGCAGTCGCCGGAAAAATCGACGCCGGAACGGTCGCCAGAATCGAAGTTGTCGACGGAACGATTGTTGGAAAGTTCGCCGAAGTAGAGCGGTGATCGGAACGGTCGCCGGAGCGGTAGAGGTGGTGAAGGTGGGATGAGTTAAATAAAAATTTAAATTTTTTTAATAAAAATCTAATTTTGAAAATTTAAAACTTGTTTTCTTATTTTTGAAATATATTAAATTTATTTTCTTGAATATGTAATCTTTCCTATCAATAATCAGGAGCCAGATGAATGAAAAAGGCCAAAAAGAAAAGAAAAGTATTAGGTCCGGGCATGGGGATGGGGATGGGGAGGGGGAGGGCGTCACCCGGGTAATGGGCCGCAGCTGAATGGGTGGGTCCCACGTGCTAAACCAAGTTCAAAATTCAAAACTAGAGGGGGGAACACGTGCCACCCAGGAGCCGTTGCAGAGACGAAGAAAGGGCCGTTGAAAACAGACGCTCTCTCCAATTCAAAGGATTTGCCGTAAAAGTATAAAAGCATCCGCAATTCTTCATAATCAATACAAACCTGTAGGATTACAGTAGGGTTTTTGGTCGATTTCTTCGAGAATCAAAGGGAATACAGAATGGAAAAGTACGAGAAATTGGAGAAGGTTGGAGAAGGGACATATGGGAAGGTATACAAGGCTAAAGACAAGGCGACTGGGCAGCTCGTTGCCCTAAAGAAAACCCGTCTCGAGATGGACGAGGAGGGCGTTCCCCCTACCGCCCTACGCGAGGTCTCTCTCCTTCAGATGCTCTCTCATTCTCTCTATGTGGTGCGACTTCTCTGTGTCGAGCACGTTGATAAGAATGGCAAACCTGTTCTCTATCTCGTGTTCGAGTATCTTGATACTGATCTCAAGAAGTTTATTGACACTTACCGTAAAGGCCCTAACCCTGGGCCAATGCCGCCGACTCTCATCCAGAGTTTCCTTTACCAGTTATGCAAGGGGGTGGCGCACTGCCACAGTCATGGTGTCCTCCATCGGGATCTCAAACCCCAGAATCTACTTGTCGATAAGGAAAAAGGGGTCCTCAAGATTGCGGATCTTGGGCTAGGCAGGGCTTTTACTGTTCCCCTCAAGAGTTATACCCATGAGGTACGTACATTTTTTCTTTAATCGAGTTTCCCTATGATTGATGAATAGATTAGCATTATTCACTTATCCAATCCTTTTTTTCCTTTATTTTACCCCCTTCTTTTATTTTTGAGTGTGTGTAGATAGTTACTCTCTGGTACAGAGCACCTGAGGTTCTTCTGGGATCCACTCATTACTCTACGGCTGTTGATATGTGGTCTGTTGGCTGTATTTTTGGTGAGAACAGAATTCTTCCACTGAATAAAAGATATCTTGGCTGTATTTCACCCCTTTGTTGTTAAAATATTAGATACTCTGCATTTGTCCTTAAAATCTCAAAGAAGCAGATTTGTTGAGTAGATGAAAGTAATCGTATACTCTGTTGTTAATTCTGTTTTTCGTTACAGTAGTTTTTGTACAGATCTCAGCCATTTAGTAGTTAGAGGATCACACTCTTGAATCATTGAATAACTTGGGTTTTTTGGCTTTTTGCAGCTGAGATGGCAAGAAGACAAGCTTTATTTCCTGGTGATTCGGAGTTCCAGCAACTGCTTCACGTATTCAGGTATACTTCCATCCCTACTGTTGGATAAGTCGATGGTTATGCAGAGTCTTCTGCTTCATGATTGGCGATATTATATTTTACGTCTCTGGATTAGTGGTTGAATCAGCTCTTTCCGCATTGTATTTCTTCTTCGACTGTCAGAAAGTTTCGGTTTATTCTAGGTTAAGCAAAATACTGAACATAAAATTTAAGATATGTAAGATATGGTTCTTATTTGCTTAGGTAAACCTTAAAGTGCTAAACTATCAAACTAGTAGAAGACTGAGTTTTTGGTACAATCAGTATTTCATAGCTTTTGTTTGTAGATTAGGACGGCGAAATATTATAGTTATGCTGTGGTTGAAGACTGAATTTCAAAAAATATGTGGTCTCATCTCCACCTGCTGAGGTATTACAACTTAAAGCAGTCAAAAGATCTCACCTCCACCTGTAACGGGAATTTTCACAAGGTCTTTGGTTAAAAAATGAAATTGGCCTACATGTGAAGAGACTTGTTGAAGAACATATTTGAAATAAATGGATTTCTCCCATTTATAAAAGCATAAGGGGAATAAGGCTTAGTTTTTATTTTCGTTCATGTAGAATTATGTGGTTTCGGGCTATACTGCTACTAGTTCTTCCTAAGTTTTATAGATCGTTCATGTTTGGTTTGCATTTCTGTTTATGCCGATACAAGCAAGTTTAGAGAATCTAGTCGAGTAGAAGTATCACATGATAGTAACTGAGGTGCCTCTTTCCAGATGTTAAGATCCTTTCTGGAGGACCATGTTTATTGTTTTTCTGGATTTGGTTAAGTTCATCGCACAAGTTATTTAAACAAGGGATTTATTGTTGTGTTCAATTGAAAAAAAAAAAACTCACTAGTTGACATTTATAATCGAGAAATTAGGCCATTCTATCCAATTTATGGATGTCACTTGTTGCTTAATTTGTGAGCATGACATATTTCTTCTCACAAGTTAATACGACTTGTTCATCATGGAAGGTTGCTGGGAACGCCAACAGAGAAACAGTGGCCTGGAGTTAGTTCACTGAGGGATTGGCATGTGTATCCACAATGGGAACCTCAGAACTTGGCTCGTTCTGTTCCATCACTGGGACCTGATGGAGTTGACCTTCTATTGGTGAGTTTTTATTCTCAAGCTCGTGTTTATGTACCTGAGTTTATGGTGACTTCTCGTGCTGTAATAAGCCTATGTAAGTAACAATTTTTTGCTGTCAAGTTCCTGTTTAGACGGATAATATTTATATTGTAGTGGTACTTTCATAACAAAAAGCACGACTATCTTTTATGTGTCTCGAAGGACTATACAGCATATGTATAGTCATTTGTTTGCTGAAAATAATGTTATCTTTGAATGATGCAGAAAATGCTTAAATATGATCCGGCTGAAAGAATTTCTGCTAAAGCTGCTATGGATCATCCCTACTTCGATGGCTTGGATAAATCTCAATACTGAAGTCCATATTACCTTAGAAACGAAGGACGAAGCCACCATCGTTGAAGGATGTGTCATCATCTTGGTGATTTGAACTTTGTTGTGTAAACATTTTCAACTTATGCATTGTATTTATCTCATCAACTATGCAGTACTCTTGGAAGTATTTATTTATTTTATTCCAAGATTTTTAAAACAAAAACTAGAAAATTTCGGTATTCTTTGTGAAAAATTAAAGATCTTTGACTCTCTAAACATTCGATAATGGATTTTAGGGGTGCGTTGATTCCGGCCTTACAATTCATTTTGAGCATCTGTAATGCCAGGATTGTGTGGGGAAAAAAACTCTCATGTCATCAAAATTGACGACGTTAAATTTAAAATTTCTATCTTATGAAGTCTTTATTTGATTAATCATGTTATAATGACATAATCCTTGACACAATAATTGATATAGCATTTCATCATTGGATTGTTTTGAACACAATTGACATTTTCATTCAATTATATATTGTTAATTAATATTATGTTACTACATCTGTAACCACTTTCGTCGAAGTGGCATAATCCGTATTTGATTTGAATAAAAATTAGGTTTCAATAATAGACTAATAGTTGGTGAAAAGTTGACTAAAATTGTGGATCCATGCGTGGTTCAAAATGAATTTGAGGGAAGATAAATTTAAAAAATGTAGATCAAATAGATACTAAGTTTAGATAAAATTTGAATAATAATGCTCTCAAAACTATAGCTTCAAGTTCAATACAAAACTCGAGAATTCCTGAATTTAATTAAATTAGATTTGAAGTCATGATCAAAATATTTTTGAATAGAAGCTTCTTGATGTGCCAAATCTAATTCTATTATAATATGATTCTCGTATGGAAAAGCCTCCAGTACAATGAGTTTCTTACCGAATTCATACAAATGTTAAAAAATAAATAAAACATGCGAATCAAATTCTGTCACATCGACATTTGTATTTGTAGCACGATTGTTCTCGCGTGCTTCGATCCTCGTTTGCTGGTCCACAAAATAAATTGGGTAGAAAAGTGCAAGATTCCAAACTTCCTATTTAATATGAAACACATAAGCTGGTTGCTTACATGGGTCAAAATCAACGTCGTATGACACTCAGCACGCCAAGTCCATCAACATAAATAAATGTGCCGACTCTATTAATGCATATCACCTACAGATCCTGTAAATTAAAAAAAAATTGTTCAAACGAGAAAATTATAGTTGGGCTCTTCAACTTATGTCTAATGTGGTAAATAGGTCCTCGTGTTTCTCCATCTCTAATTTATAATAACATTGTTTCCTCCTTCCATCTCTACACCTAAATTACTATCCCAAAGTAGTGAAAATGGGTCAAGAAACAAGATGGAAGGGGATAATATATGGAAAAACAAATATAGAGGCATAAAGCGAATATAAAGAGTTGGGACTGAACACATGTTAAGTAGCTCGAGCTTTTGTTTATTGTTCATTAATCGCTCAAAAAGTTATACTGGTTGACTACTGTTGATACACTAAAGTTGATGTGACAATTTCACCCTTAAGAGGAACTTGATGAAATTAAAAAAGTGATCTTGTTGAAATAATTGTAAAATACACTTAATCTTCATTGAGTGGTGTTTGGTGAGGACTTACAAAGAAAAGCTTAGCTCCTCCCTTCTAGTTGGGCATTTGCTTCATTACATAGGCATCGAGACAAGAGTTTGGCGTTCTTTGTCTTGTCAAGTTACAGTATACATCTTCAAGATACGTGTCACCGTCCTATTCGAATGAATCTCATTAATTGAGGAGTTCAACAAGGTTAAACCATCATTGTACCTAGATCATAGTTTGTGATCTAGGTTATCATTGTCTGCAATTTAGATAATCATTGCTTTCTCTTGATTCATTATACGTCAAATGTTACACTTTCCAGTCTCTGATTGGTTGAAATGGGTAGCGTTGATGTCATTGGGAAACATTCCTCCAATTTAATCATGATAATGTTTTCAAATGACAACTTTAGCCGTTCTATTGGAGCAAGTCATTGGGTTTAACCTCACATGATATGCACATACTTTTAGTAATTAAGCTTCTTTAATTAATTTGGAGTGAGTCCACACTTTGTCCAAGGCGACCTCTTCAAATTGGACACCAACAACTATCGTGTAATTTTATAACTAGTCGAATAGATGAAATCATGGAAATCAATCGACAAAGAGACCAAATTAAAAGTTAAATATTCAAGTGTTACAAAATAAAGATTGAAACCTACATTTTACATTTTGCCTAACTTGAAAACCTTAATGGCAATAAAAATGTACCAACTGCCCCACGCTCATCTAACTTCTTCAAGATGACATGCCACGCCACCCAAGTCTCTGTTCATACTACTCTCATCACATCGGAATACATCTCTATCGAATTACCACCTAATTCTTGAAATCCTGTTCATCACTACGCGTCGTTTTTAGGAAAAATATAGCAGTATATATAATGGGATCTGTATGTTAATCACCTACCTGGCCTCTAGGATCCCGTGAACCATTCAATTTTGGTAAAAGAGTTGCTGTTCGATTCTTTAGCAGAATTTATATGGGTTGTTGATAGCTACTAGAATTTTTTTTTAGAGTCTGTCTAGTATTTATAGGGAGAGTCTGCAGCAATTTTGTTGTTTATTGAGTTGAATTTAAGCTACTATATAATTCCACGCGATTTGTATAGCAGCAGCAGAAAGGAAGAAGAGTGTTCATGGAGGTGGAATCATCGAAGCAAGAGGAGAACAAGACGATGATGGCTCAGAACGTTCGCAAACCGGACAAAAAGCGTAGAAGAAGAATCATATGTCTGGTGGTGATATCAGTGATTTTAGCTTTAGCCATAATTTTCACGATTCTAGGGCTCACAGTTTTCAAGGCCAAGCGTCCCGTCACCACCGTCAATTCCGTCGCTGTTTCCGATATAGATTTCTCATTTGACATAGCCAGGCTCAGGGTTCACTTGAACGTCACCGTCGACACCAGCGTCGCCGTGAAGAACCCTAATAGAGTGGGATTAAAGTACAAAAACAGCACTGCTTTGTTGAAATACAGAGGCGACGTGGTGGGTGAAGTCCCAATTCCGGCCGGAAAAATTGGCGCCCGTGACTCGGTGATCATGAACTTGACGCTGACACTTATGGCGGATCGGGTGCTGGCCAACTCCAATTTGTACTCCGACGTGATCTCTGGTACGTTGCCTCTCCAGACTTACACGAGAATTGCTGGAAAAGTGCGCATATTGTTCAATATTCATGTTGTCTCCTACACCACTTGTGATTTGGAAGTAAGTATTTCCAGTAGGAATGTTACTAAACAGCAATGTCACTATAAGACCAAAGTATAATCTATACACAATCTATCAATGAAGAGAAGAGAAGGTATGTTATGTGTGAAGAAGGATTCATCCAAATTTATTGGGAACCAGGCTTATTTTCTTCTTATTGTCTTGAATTTGATATTTCATATTATAGATAGATGAAGCTTCTACTTTGTAGATAGATGTAAGCTATCTGTTTTTTTTTTTTTTGTCAATATGAAATTATTATTTAGTGAATTTGGATCTTGTATTTAAAGAGGGGGATGCTCAGTTTGTGAAAAGACTAACGGGGTAAGTGCCAGGATTTTAAAAACAGGGGACACGCCCAAACATTTGATTGGGCAATTTGAAAAAAAAAAAAAAAACAACCAAACAGGTTTTGACACCCAGCACCTGTCACCAATTCTTGTCACTGAGCCTGGGTGTTTATCATTCCTGTTGTGAAAATGTTTGATGGTTTTCACCACACACTGAGGGATTGGCATGTGTATCCACAATGGGAACCTTAGAACTTGGCTCGTTCTGTTCCATCACTGGGACCTGATGGAGTTGACCTTCTATTGGTGAGTTTTTATTCTCAACCTCGTGTTTACATACCCAAGTTTACGGTGACTTCTCGTGCTGTAATAAGCCTATGTAAGTAACAATTTTTTGCTGTCAAGTTCCAGTTTAGACGGATCATCCCTACTTCGATGGCTTGGATAAATCTCAATATTGAAGTCAATGTTACCTTAGAAACGAAGGGCGAAGCCACCATCTTTGAAGGTTGTGTCATCATCTTGGTGATTTGAACTTTGTCAGTGTAAACATTTTCAACTTATGCATTGTATTTATCTCATCAACAAAAGAGTACTCTTGAGGAATTTATTTTACTCCGATTTTTAAAGAAAAACTAGAAAATTTCGGTATTTTACTTGAAAAATTAAAGATCTTTGACTCCATAAACATTCGATATATCATAGGATCAATGGATTTTAAGGGTGCGTTGATTCCCGCCTTACAATTCATTTAGAGCATCGGTAATGCTAATATGGATTGTGTGGAAAAAAAACTCGTGTCATCGAAATTGACGTTAAAATTTAAATTTCTATCTTATTAGAAGTCCTAAATAGTCTCTCTCTCTCTCTCTTCTATTAAGTCTTTATTTGATGAATCATGTTAGAATGACATGATCCTTGACACAATAATTGATATATCATTTTATCATTTGACTGTTTTGAACACAATTAACATTTTCATTCAATTATCATCTATAATCACTTTTTGTCAAAGTGGCATAATCTGTACTTGATTTGGATAAAAATTAGATTTCGGTAATAGACTAATAGTTGGTGAAATATATGATTGAATGCGTGGTTCGAAATGAATTTGAAGGAAAATAAGGTGTGAAAAGCATGAAATGAGGTGTAGAAAGTTGTGCACAGTTTCGAATAATAATAATGCTCTCAGAACTATAGCTTCAAGTTCAATACAAAACTCAAAGTTCCTGAATTTAATTAAATTAGATTTGAAGTCATGATCAAAATATTGTTGAATAGAAGCTTCTCCATGTACCAAATCTAATACTAGTATAATATGATTCTCGTATGGAAAAGCCTCAAGTACAGTAATTTCTCATCGGATTCATACAAATGCTGATGTGACAGAATTTGATTCGCAAGTTATA